AGAGAGCCTGTTGGCCCAATTCTCAAAGATCGAGTTAAAACAATCCAATAGCATTGAAGTGAATGAGCACATCTCACAAAAAGAGTGAATTCAAAACTTGAGCTCTTTAGAAGTGTGCTCCTGGAGATGTCGCCCTCTCACTGCAACTTGGGGGAGTGTGGGATTTGGGGACTTAATAAAGTCCCATCCTTGCACATGAGGGACTCAGAGTCCATTCCTGACAAGCACTTGGTGCCAAGGTCAAGGAGCCAGATGAGGCCTGTGAGGGGGTAAACTGGCCCTTTCAGGCAGCTGGCAGCCTAGGCAGGATGGTGGGTGTGTCAACCCATCCCAGGGACCCTGCTTACCCTTCAGATTCTCCCCTTGGGCTTGTGTCTGGAGCTGTCTTGCTGTACGTCAGAGTTGCTAGAAACTAGCTGAGCACCAGTGTCTCTCAGAGAGTGTACAAACAGAAACAACCCATGCAATTTGGAGGGGCCAGGATCACAGTTTAAATGTCCAGATCTAGAGCTTAAAAACTGCACAGTAACAGGTCACCTCTGACTTGGAATAGAGGCGATGCTCACTTGACAAAATCATACTACCTGGGGTCCCTCTCACCTGAGACCTCTCTAGGAATCTTCTCCCTGCAGCCTCCCCATGGCCCAGTGACAACCACATGGAACATCGCTTTCACTGTCTCTGGAGGTGCAGGCCAGCTGGGGTGCACATCGGCATGCCCTGGAGCTTTGAAAAACCCCCAAACGCTGAGTTTCTCCAGAGACTCTGATGGGGCCAGGCTGTGGCCTGGACACAGGATGCTCTGCTGTGAATTTCCTCCTCCCGGCCCTGGGCTGCTCCTTGCCAGCTCAGGCCATGCTGTATGTGGCGGTCTCCACTGTGGCCCAGACTGACCCTCAGTCTTGCTGAGGGAAGGAGCAAGAGCACCTGCCCCTTCCTGTCTCTGTCTCTGTCTCAGGCTTCATCAGGCAGTTCACAGAAGGTTCACTTTATATTTTAAATTTCTTTCTGTTCTAAGGCCACCCAGCCCAACATGTTTTTGCGTTCTGCTTTTCTCCCCCTCCTTTACCTCCATGTCAGATGTCTTCCTGCTCAGGGCTTCCTGGGCACAGGTCTCCATGGGGCTCCTTTTCTATTTGTCCCACTTGCCACCCGCCTGTCCCCTTGTAGCAGCTGCTGCTGCTGTCACCACCTCCCCAACCCTCCCCCCTCGCGGCATCCCTGGGGCAGCCCCTCGTCCTGTACCCGCTCACATAGCAGACCTGTTATGTGTTCCCTGCAGCCACTTCTGGACCAGGCCTGCACTGTCCACCTGAGGGCAGTGAGGTTGGAGGCCTGCTGACCATGTCACTGCTTCACGTTTCCTTACTAGGGCCCAGGTGCTCAATCAGCAGGATTTCAGTGCCAGGCCAACCTGCACTTGTCTGCTTGGCTTACTGAACTGGATGTTTCTGGTTAGTGGTTCCAGTTTTCTGTATTTAGTCTCTTCTGGGGTGCAAGGCTGGCCCCCCAAATTCTGAGGAAGGGAGAGACTTCAGTGTTCTTAGTTTGCTGTGCTACACATGCTCCTCCTGCCTCCAGGTGAACACAGAGCCTCGCTAGTTTCCCTGTTGGGTCTCCTGCCCTTTATGCAAAACCCTTCTACAAACTGAGGATGGAGACAGAGGGCTTAACAGTCTCCCAGTGACTCTGATTAGAGATAGTTTTGGGCACAGGAAATAGGCACCATTGTTGTTTTCAACCCTAGCTGCACGTCAGAACACACCTGGGAGCCTTAAAAATACACCTGCACCCAGGCCCACTGCTGACTTGGTTGGTCCATGGGAGGGCCTGGGTGTCAGAATCAGGGGATTCCATTCTGTCCAGGACTAAGAGCCAATGTAGTGATCCCAAAGTCTGGGCCTTGGTGTAATCTAAGAGTTTTTGGGAGGCTCACATTCTTGGCTCCACCTGAATCTACTGAATCCACATCTTTGAGGCTGAGGACCAGGGATCTGTATTTTAATAAGCTCCGATGTTTTCTCTGTGCACATGAGTTTGCAACCTGTGCATTACAATGTGCACGGAAGGAGGAGAGCATGACTGGAGGCAGTGTCTTGTTTCTAAGTCTACACTAGTGGTTCTCAGAGTGTGGCGTTCAACCCCACAGCACCAGCATCTCCTGAGAATGTTTTGGAAATGCAAATCCTCAGGACTTAATCGAGATCTACTGCATCAAACTCTGGGTGTATAGCCCGGTCTTCTGTTTTAAGATCATAAGATGATTTCGATGCATGCTGGAGTTTGAGAACCACTGGTATACTATCTTCTTGCCTTATGGGGACCATTACATGACTTGGGGGTCCAAACTGCAGAGGCCCTATATTATGATTTGGGTCTTAAGTATTCCCTGAAAGTTCGTGCTTGATTTCTCAGTGCAAGTTTGACCTTTGGGAACTGATTGGGTCATGAGGGCTCTGATCTCGTCAATGGACTAATCCACTGATGAATTCAGAGCTTAATGGTGAATCTATTAAGGCTGGAGGATGGTAGAAAATTTAGGAGGTGGGGCCTAGTTGGAGGAAGTAGGTCATTGAGGGCACGTTCTTCTCTCTCCTCTGCCCGAGTGATATTCTGCTTCACCATAGGTCTGGAAACACGGGTGCCATGTGACCAAGGATGGAAATTTCTGAAACTTTGAGCCCAGATAAATCTTTTCTTCCTTAAGTTGATTTTCGCTTAGGTATTTTGTTACAGTGATGGAAAACTAGCTAGCATACTCTGCAAGGAAGGGGTGGATGGAAAAAGCTGTGTACAGAGGCTTGAAATTATTGGCCCTAACATGATGAAAAGCTTAGGGCTGATAGTGTGGACCACTCTGAAGCATTCTTTCTTTGAACACTATACATGTATATGAGAGAAGGCTAGAGGCAGTCAGTTCTGGAGGGAAGATTCAGTCAGTTGGCCTGCCTGAGATTCCTGTGGTTCTTATAAGTATGTATGTGTGAAACAAATTTCAAATTCCAACTAGGATGAGTGAATGGACTCTGTAGGGTGAGAAAGTGGGGATGAGGATGTATTTCAGATAATTACTCCATCAACTACCCCCTGGAGCCATTGTGTGGCACCAATGGGCCAGTTCTATGAAGGAAAAAGACAACAAAAAGAACTATGTGTCTGTCCGCCCATTTAAAACTTTTTTTTGTGACACAGATTTGAGTTGATCACATGCCCCAGTCTTTGGCATATTATCTTCATTGGTCCATGCAAGGCTTCTGTCTTGAATTTATGAAGGTGTTTATGTTCTTTTATTTTTATACCTTACTCTTTCTTCCCACTTCCCATTGTATTTTTTTTTTTGGTTTTATATGCGTGTTTGCAAAGTGTGTGTTGTTTGCATGCATGCCCAGATTCATAGAGCTTGCTGATTTCTGTGGTGTAAATACTCCCACCATGGCTGATCTCAAGCTGTCAGTGTGATGTTGCTGAGGGGCTGGAAGGAATGTGCTCACTTGTACCTGGCTCCCCTCTCAGGAGTTGGTGGAGCTGGCTCCAGCTCTGCCCTGTGGATGCTTAATTGAAGTGTGGACTAGAGAGGCTACTTGACATCCCATAGACAGCATATGGTTTCATAAGTTGAATTCTTTTAGCCCATCTATTTCCACCTTTCTTGGAATCCTGGGCCAACTCAGCTTGTTTTATAGGTGAGGATATTGAAACACTTAGAACAGCTGAAGGGTTTTATTAGTGGTCAATAATGAGAATGGCATGCACGTGGAGGGTTTCCTGCTCTTAATAAAACCAGATTATGGGACTTTGGTGGCAAATGCATGCGAACCCATACTTTAATAGCTCCATGTCATCACTTGGAGACTGGGGCAGCTGAGTGTGCTATGAGCAGAAACAGCCTGTGGACAATTCCTGGATGCTTGATCCTCAGAGAGCCATTAGTCTATGGCCATTAAAATACAACCTGGGACCTTCTTGGCCGCAAGGTGTGATTGCAAACTGAAAGGTAACTCTGTCCTACATGGAGGATTCTTTTGCAGGGGATGTGCCCCATTTTCCGGGAGGAGTCATGATGAGTTGGGGAGGATCTGGAAGACGAGCATGCAGCTCCAAGCTCCTGGGCTGGGGAAAGATGGCTAAGACCTCAGGGCAGAGAAGCAAAAAAGTGCATATAGAAACTAGCTTTTGTAAAGAACGGGTTTTGGTCAGATTGTACTCCTTTCATTAGAGCTGGGTTTATTGAGGGTCTGTCCCACTCCTTCCTCCCTCCTCCCACTTCCTTCATCTGTCACCATCCAGTCATAGTAAGTGGGAAGTGGGGATTTGCCGGGCAGGTCTCACTGTGGGCAAAAGAGTTCAGCCTCCTCTGGGGAGGGGGTGGAAAGCTGGGCCACTTGGCTTCCCACAAAGGAGTCTGGTGGTTTAGGAGTTTAGTAGGAGCTATTCCCAGAGTGACCAAGGAAGAAGAGTTACTGGCCAGGTAAGAGGGGCTGGATTTGTAACTTTGGTGTTCAAGGTGAGGTTAGGTAGCCTTTAGCCTTTCCATGTCACTAGAAAGTGACATGGGTTGTTAACAGTAGAAAGCAACATCTATAGCAATTCCTGTACAATTCCTTTTGAAAGCAAATCAAACCCTTCTCTGATATATATCTCAGAGGATTTTTTTTTTTTCAGCACTGGGGATTGAATTCAGGGCCTTCATCCTGAGCTATGTCCTCAGCTCTTTATATTTTTTATTTTGAGACAAGGTCATGTTAAGTTGATAAATTGCTCAGGCTGGGCTTGAATGTGTGATCCTCCTGTCTCAGCCTGCCAGAGTGCTGAGATTATAAGTGTGCTGTCATGCCTGCCTCCCTGCCCCATAATTTTTAACCCACCCTAAACTCTTCCCAGACACATGCTGGACTGTGGAAAACCCCTCAAGTGGGCAATATATGAGTGTGTAGGTGGGAACCGTATTACGGAAACCCTGACACCAACTTGCAAATTTAAACAGTTTAATGAGAGTGTAATTATGACTGTTATAAAAGGAAAGACATTTGTTTACAATATGATTACAATGCTGAAAAAGATCAGTTTTCCCCTTATGATATTTCAGTAATGTAAAGGAAGGCACATTGACATTTCCAGTAGCTTAAGTTCCTAACCCCAATCTGGAGATATTCTTCCATGACCCCAAAATAAACCTCCATAGAGCATCAACTCTTGCCTGCACTTTCTGTAGGTAGCACTTCCTTCTGTTACTCAGCTCCAGATAAGTACTTTCTGGTTGTGCTGATTTGATCAGGTTACAGGAGACAGGGAAGAGCCAACCCTTCTGAGGTAGAAGGGACCTTAGAGTCCCTCCCTGTCATAAAGAAATTCCTGGCACTAAGAAGTCAAGGCTGAGATAGGGAAGGATGGAGTTGGGACTGTTGGGATCCATTAGTGGTAGAGGTGGATGGGACCAGGCCTCTTGGCCTTCAGGCTCATGAACATTTCCCAGCACTGTGCTTTTCTATATTAAATAACTGAGCTGGCAGAAATGTCACCCATTTCTGTCCCCTTCTTGGTGGCTTTCCTTACAGAACAGGAAAAGTTCCTATTAAAGGGGGCTCTCATGGAGCCAGCTATTGGAATCAAGCCTAAATTAAGTCATCTTGGTGAGCTTCCAGAAAGGTGACCACACACACATTTCCTGTGCTTAGGGGCAGGATCACAGAACAGACAGAAAGGGAGGTTAGGTGGCCTTTAGCCTGGGGACTCAGACAGACTGCTGAAGGCTGCATTTACAGTGACATGCTTTGGAAAGGACAGCTTAGGAGATGTCATAAGCCTGGTACTTTGTGATGGTTGATGCCCTTCTGTTTCTCTCCTGGGACAGGTAGTAGATGCGATTGGCCTCTGGGTAGGTGACCTTGCTAAGTGGGAGCTTGTAGATGGCTGGGTTGTTGGTCGTCAGGAGCAGGAAGGTGAGCGCTGAGAGGCAGAAAGGCCAGGTGCAGGGTGGTAATCCAAACTGGAGAGAGAGGGGGACACAAGCGAAGCCTCAATTATAAACAAGCTCCTGCTTGTTCAATTAGCCCTTATTGGTCACTTAAAGTCATGCTCTATGGGCACTGATAAAGATAACACATAATTGAAATCAACATGAAATTATGCCAGTGCATTTAGTCTGCACTGTAACAGGTGAGCACATACTGTTCAGAATGCAGCCATTGGAGAGCCAATAGCGGTTGATATGCCTTTACATATGTCTTGGGGAATTTGGGCTGGCCATACTTCCAACTACAGAACTAGGGCCATTCCATGTCTTTTCCCAAGCTCCCACTGAAGGAATGTTTTTGGAAGCCACTTCATAGCTCAAGACTTTTTCATTGGTCACAGTCCACTGGACTAGAGATAGGCATCTGACTCAAACACAGCTTCCCATAGGCAGGTGACTTGGACGAATGTAACTCCTTTTCCAAGAATGTGAACTAAAGGCACAAAGACTATGTTCATAGAGCTCTTGAACTGTGAGGTTTGAAGAACCAGTGAGGGTGGCCATGAAGCTGTGTGCAGTAGAGAAACACTTTGTATAGAGACACAGGGAAATGAGCAGATGTATGTAGAGAGGCAGAGGAATGGCATCTTTGTTCCAGGAAGCTGGAAGTGAAGAGCAGCTGCTTCTCTTCTCAAGGGCTCTCCTAGCCTCACATCTCTTTCTTATGATGTTGACTTGGTTTTTAATCCTTGAGATGCCCTGAGACATTTTAACATACCTCTTCTTCATATGAGAGAGCTTTTATGGATGGCTTGCACTCAAAAGAGCCTACAATTCAACTGTGAGGCAGATCAAATGCCCCCTTGTCCTAAAACATTATTTTATTATAAGGTGTAAGACCTCAGGTAGTACCATGAGAGTAGTGATGCTGGTCATGTGAATGGCTAGAGATGGCTCTGTTGGAGGGGACTTTGGCGGGAGACCAAGGACAGTACTGTAAGGAATCCCTGTGGATGATGAGATCCCCTCAGTGAATCCTCCCAGTGCCCTACTAAGACTGCATGAAGTGTTTCAGGAAGCATTCCTTAAAGTTCCACAGTGGAGATATGGGAGTTCCGTAGATGTATGTTCAAATCTCAGCACTGATCACCTTATTAAAATCATTTACTCTTTTGGAGACCTGTTTTCTTAGTAGCAAACCAAGGATAACAATACTCAGAGAGCTGGTATGTAGTGCATACCAGATACTCAGTAAATGGTACTCAGGATGTGGACATTATAATCAAGCAGATGGTGGCATTTTAGAAGCCTCGAGGCTGCACACACATGTGCCAGTTAGAAAGCAAAAGAGTACAGCTCCTAGTTGTGCTTCCAAGGAGGGCTTGGATGGTCTCATAAACATAGTTCAAGACTTTTATATTCTGTTTCTCAGTGAGATTGGAAAGTCCTCAGAGTGGAAAGTCCTTCTGGGTAAGTTAGTAGCCTGCATTTTTTTGTATCCCAAACAGTTTTTAGCACAATGCCTTAAACACAGTAGGTACACGGGAAGTAATTTCATTCTGTTTTGAAAAATGTCTAAATCGAGTGGTATAGCCCTGTAACTTCTCTAAACACAGACACTTAAGTGGACACCTATGGTTAGAAGCCAAAGTTTTCTGTTTCTATCTATTCCAGTTCTTTGTTCAAGGAAAGCACATAACATGTATTTATTGAGTGACTGATTGGATGAATAGATGGTAGACCCATTGAAATATTGTACATCAAGGTGCGCACAGAATTAGATGAGGCCCAGAGGAGGGACTTAGTCCATTGAAGGAGACAGGACAGTATCAGGGAAGGATAATTATTCTGCTTAGGAAATACCTTCCAAACCACCCATTCTCACTAGAGGAGAAGGAGGGGTTCAGACAGAAGTGAGTGGAATGTCTATGCCATCCCTACGTGCAGGATCAATAGGACTTTCCCTGGCTGTTCATGTAAGGTTTGCTTGGACCCTTATCTAAGTAGGGGAGGGATCAGTGGCAAGCTAGGCCCTGAGTACTCTGTGCTGGGCCTGGGGCTGACCAGTCGGCTCCTGCTATACTCTGCCCTACACTGGAGGCCAGAAAAAGAAGGAGTTCTGGGACTGCTATGATTGCCACAAGCCATCAGGTCAGGCTTCTCTCTGGCCAGCTAGGGCTTGATGGCCCCTGTTCCCTGAAGCCTTTGCTAGTGTCCTCTTGCTCCATGAAATGTGCTATGGGACAAAGATGTACACTGACCCACAAACTAGGTGGACAGATGATCTGTGAACACACAAAAGTTAGGTAATAAAGATTTAAACATAGATCTAGAGAATGACATAATAGAAAAGAGTTGGATTTACAAGGCAACGCTCTTCAAATTGTCCTTCTAGAAAGAGGGCTGTTGGCCATTGACAGTGGGATCTGACTGACCTCCATCTGCCATTTAAACTTTGGAGCCTGAGCTGCTTCGGTCCAGCAGTCCTGAGGTGTGCAGTGCAATTTGCAACAAGGGGCGTGAACTGGGAAGGGTTCCAGGAGGAGGAGTTTGAGCAGGGTATGGGAAGCCAAGAAGGGGTTTGTGAGCACATTGTTACCACAGGTTGACTCACCACAGATAGCATGTTGGCCAGAGCAGTGCCTAGGTAGGCTGCAAACAGAGCTGGAAAAAGAACCAACAATAAACAGTCCAGTAACTACTTAACAGTATCTCAAGCTTTGTCTACATATTCTCTCTTCATTAATTTTATGACACAATACTATCTCTCAGATTTAAAAAAAAAGAGTTACATTTCCATTGCTTGGCAGCTTTAGAAGTGTTAAATTCCATGCAAATGCCGGCACAGCTAAGACAGCAGATGAACTTTGTTAAAAAGGGCCAGAATTTAGCTGTTACAGTTCTCTTGGGTCCCACCAACTTGCATTCCAGTAAAGGAACATTTAACAGCATAAACCATAAATGAGAATTTTACTATACAGCAAAGGCGAGTGAGTCCCAGAACTCCCTGATGGAATATTTCATCACAAGGTATTAACATAATATGGGTTTCCAGGGAGAAGCAGCATTCCGTGAGCTCAAGGGAGATCAAATATGCCCACTGCCTTGTCTTCTAGGCTCTGTGGAGTGGGCAGGGCTGGGCTAACCACTGGGAAGAGCCAAATGCTGGCAAGAGAGGAGAAGCAATGAAAATGGGCCCGTGGAACTAGGCTTTGTTTCTGAACCTTAATTTTTCAGCAGCAAGCAATTCAATTGTCCCTAGGCTGTTAACAATAGCTCACCTTTATTAGAGAGTTACTGCATGCCCAGCTAGCAGCAATGCCAACCACATCCTGCGGCATTCCTACAGTCTAAGCACTACTATTGCTTTTGTTTCATAAATGAGAAAATAGGCTCAGAGAGGTTAAATGCTGTGACTGTTCTGCCTGTCTTTGAGTTAGAGAAACCCCTCTTATCCTAGAAGTAGGAAGAGTGAGGAGATTAAAGGATAAATGATATGAGTGGGATGTGGGACAGTTTCATGGTTCCCACCAGCCAGCTGATCTCTCTCCAAGGGACTGGGAGCCTGTGCCATTCTTTGTGTCAGCTCCATTCTCAATTATTAGTACACATTGCTTGACTACAGATAACAAGGGCAACTCTTCCTGGGCATTGTTTCCATTGCTTTCATGGGTTATCGGATTTGATTATAGCAACAGTTCTATGAGGCAGACACTGTATCAGGCATTGAGAGTTCGAGTGACTCGACCAGGATGAGCTGGGTGACAAGTGGCAGAGCTCCAGCCATCTGGCACCAGGAGTGGGCTCTTAACCATTGTGCACTCCAGCCTCTCAGAGCTGAGGTTAGAAAAGGAGGCAGACCGAGGAACCGACCTAAATATCACTAGTCCCGAACAGAGGAATGAGGAGGTGTGGCTTGTGAAGAATGGATGCTCCAGAATAGTCTGGATGGAACCCAACTCCATCCAACTTACCCTGGGGTCCAGAGCAAAAGGATTTATTCCCATGTTCCCCCGACCCCATTGTATTTTACAAATTTGACCTGTAACCAGTAGGAAATCTTCTGCAGACCTGTGTGTGCTAATCTGTGGTTGCAGGGCCTGGAGAATGAGGAGAGGGGGAAGATGATGGAAGAGAAGGAAACAGTACAAGGAGCCTGTCTGGGCTTCAGGGGAAATCGCCTGTCCTGGAGGACACATAGAACAGGAAGGAACCTTCTTTCTCCCTGGTCCTGTCCATCACTAGCTGCATGACTGTGCTGGACTGCAGGGAAAGCACTGGCTTCAGGAAGGAGCGTGATGTCCTGCAAAGAGCACAGACTTCTACAGCCCATTGTGTTTACACGCCCGGCTGTGGGCTGTTTGGTTTTCTCTCCCTTCAACCTCAGTTCCCCATCTGTGAATGGGAAACTCTCTTGGTTGCAATGGGGATTAAATGAGATGCCCTGTGTGAGGTTCACAGCATGGCACCTTTGACGTTCTTTGCTGGGTGGCTGTTCTGGGCATTGTAAGATCTTTAATAGCACCTTTGGCCTCTCCTCACCAGATGCCAAAAGCACTTCTTTCCCTAGGTATGACAAATAAAAATCGCACCAGACACCGCCAAAAGTCCCCGAGGAAAGGGAGAAATTCTTCCTGGCTTAGAGCCACCCAGGTAACATCTGACATGGGTAGTCTGGTAAAGCCGGAACTAGGGGAGGTGAACGAGGCAGCTGGGATACACAGTTTAAGGAGTACCTCACCTCAGGAGCATGGAGATGTCAGAGTCATCACCTGCACAGCCCTGAGGGTGAGGTCCTCCTTAAAATTTTGCATCTGAGCTGGCTCACTTGTCTCACCCTAGTCCTGACCCTGCTAGGTGAACATATTTTTTTCCTCTTTTTCAAAGCAGAATATAATACTGTTATGGTTTGGATTTGAAATATCTCCCAAAATTCATGTGTTAAAGTCTTGGTTGCCAGGTAATGGGCTTTGGGAAGCAATCAGATCACAAGGACTCTAACTTCATCAGGTGGATTAATCCATCGAGGAGGTCATATTTGATGGCATCATTGGGAGGTAATGAAAACAGGAGGTGTGGCCTAGTTGAAAGGTGTGGGTCATGGAGGTGTGGCCTTGGGGACTAGATCTGATCCCTGGTCGGTTTGTGTCAGGCTCCTTCCTGCTTTCTCTGTTTCCTGTCTGCTATGAGGTGAGCAGCTTTCCTGTGCCATGCCCTACTGCCATGAGGTTTCTGCCTTGACACAGGCCTAAGGCAAGGGAGCCAGGTGACCATGGACTGAAACCTCTGAAACTCTGAACCTGAATAACTCGTTCCTCCTCTTAGTTGTTTATCTCAGGTATTTTGTCACAGTAAATAAAAACCGACTCTCACAAATACTAACTCTGTTGAGTTGTGATGAGGGTGGAGATGAAGTGTCTAAAGTGTCTTTATGGCAGGTGCTAAGAGGAATGGTAAGTTTTTATTTGGCCAAAATGAAAACTACTATTTCTTAAGTAACCATAGCATACTGGCCTTACATTGAGTATTTTAGGGTATTAGAAAAATAACTTTAAAAAGGAAGAAAGAAAAAGACAGTAGATGGACCCTTCACATCTAGCTTAAATAATTTTTCCATGTTCATAGTGACTATCATAAAATGCAAAAAAATCTACAAATTACTTTAAGAATGCAAATGTATGACCATATCTCATCCAGAACATCTTCCCTAGCAAAGAATCATTGGGACATTTTTCTACTGTAAACTAATTTTTTAACAAGTTTATGTAGATAATGTTTCAGAGTCCATAGTGGTGCTGAAGTGGAATCTCTGGTTTTTTTTTTTCAGTACCAGGGATCAAACTCAGGACCTTGTGCTTACAAGGTAGACATGGCAGCACTGAGCTAAATCCCCAGCTGGAATCTCTGTTTTAAATGTCTTGGTTAAAAGAAATTTTATTTGGTTTTCATTTACATTAACATTAAGAAAAGAAATGAAGGATATTCAAGGATTAAATTATATAAATGTGTCAAATTTTTTACAGTCAATCTAATATCCTAGGACTCTGAACAAATAGGTAACCAAGAGGGATCACTTGAAGGGCCTATGGTTAACGTATGGATGTTTAATTTTTATCACTGTATTTGAGGCAAATTGCAGAATTCCATATAAAGCATGAATTGCCTAAAAGTTGCTCTGTGTTCTCCAATCACCAGCCAGGAAAGCAGGACTCACAGGAGACAGCTATGAGCAACACAAGACCACTGCCACCTAAGGAAATCTTTCTCTATGTGGCAGAACACTGTGCATACAGTGAAGACAGTGCACTAAATAACCACTGAAGACAGTTTTAACTACAAGCCCTTCTACGAAGCAAATAATTTCTCCCACTTATCTTTTTTGGGGGGCAGGATTGTCCCAGGGCAGTTTTCTTTGTGAGGACAGTGGCAGCCATCTTTTGAGCTTAAAAGGGAACTCTATAACACCTACCACAGGCGATGGCAAGGAGGTGCGTCTGCCAGGTGATGACGTAGAACATGCCTCCGATGGCGATGCAGGCCAGGGAGCTGTTGAAGCCACACAGGCCAAAGTAGATGGAGTCAAAGGGCGTGGCAATGCTGAGGGCTGTGGGAAGGCAGGTGTCAGCATCGAGCATGAGATCTTACAGGGCTCATGTGGCTGCCCCAAAACCTACCATAGGCCTCAAAGCTCAGAACCAGATTTCCTCCAAGGTACTCATATAAAATAGGCTTCTGGTTCTATGTACTGCAAATACGTCTACAGGAAACAGATTGTCATGGAGCCACATGAATACTAGTAGCTAAGCAGTGACAAGTTGAAGAGAAACAGTCCCGAAATTGTCCCTCCCTGACACACACACACACACACACACACACACATGCACGATTCTTCTGAGAATCCATCCTTCTTTTTGTCACTGGAGAGAAGACTTAAAATATAAATACATCTGAAAGAACCCGTAACCAAACTTTAAATTTATATAAAGGTGCAAATGCCAAATGCCAAAGTCTTTCTTGAGGACAGCTGTTGGTGAGAGGAGCATGAAAGCCCCAGAACCAAAAGCAAGAAATAGGGATCCATGGAAGGAGGGAGAGTTTGGGGAAATCTGCAGGTGCGGCATTAAAGACACACATCACTGTTTTCTTTGGGGTTGGCCCCTGGCACCGACATCCCTTCAGCCCGTTAACAGGGGAAGGCAGTGACACAGACCTGCCAACATCCCTATGGTGGATCCAATTGCAGCGTGCAGGCAAATCAGAGGTGAAGATAGGAACAGAGCGATGAGGAAAATGCCTCCAGTCCAGGGATTATCGCAACCATACACTTGACCGACTCCAACAGGGATGGCTCTCAAAAGCTGCAGGTGCAACAGGGTCACATGCTTGTTAGGAAGGCAAAAGAGACAACGTAAACTTCAGTCCAAAAGATTCGGTGCCAAATCCTCCACACGACACTTTGCCACAGATTTGGAATACATTTCTGCTCAAGTGTGTTAACTCTAAAAGGAACAAATTCTTCTCATTTTAACTTTGAGTTCTTAGTAAGGGAAGGATACTGAGTTTCCTTCATCTATAAACACGAGTGAATGGCATTTCACTCCCAAGAAGAGAAATTGAAAACCTTTCACCCAGGGATATTTTTCATGAGAAGAGTAATATATTTTCAACCACAACTCTCATATAATATAAAGCAAAAAATAATGAGAAGGGTAAATATTAGACGAACAGTCTCATGTATTTCCAAGAATGGCAAGTGTGGGTGTAGAGATATCCATCTTGTCTGGCAAGCAGTAGGCCTGGGATCTGCAGAAGGGGCCTGGAGGAGGCAGTGTGGCCCAGCACCTGCTCTTTTGGCTGATAAACCCGAGGGGCCCCCTGCCTGCCTCAGTGCTCCATGGATATCAAGGCTCAGTGGAGACTGTGATGTAAGAGCATTTGAGGGACTCCGACATCTTGAGGTCACTGGGACACATGGAGCTTAGGGAGAGTCCGGGTTATGGGCTTCTCCAGCTACTGGGACTGGGTCCTGTGTCTCAGAGGATTTGTCCAAAGGCCCTTGAGCCTTTGGAAGTAAGTGCTCAAGGGACATGGCTGTGGGCCCTGTTGGCATGCTCTGGGTTCATCTCAGCTTGGGGCAGGAGCTGAGGAGAAGCAGTCTTGGGATGAGCTGTGTTTATCATGGCCTGCAAGTCTGTGTCCTTTGGGAGGAGTCTGCTCCTGGGGGAGGTGTCAGGAATGGAGAACCTGTGGCTCAAGGCCCTCACGCACAGAGAGAGGGTAAGGAGACAGGGGACAGGCCTATAGGGCTAACGCTTTGGCTCAGGCTTCCATACCCCAGGACAGGGAACAGAATAGGGCTTCTAGCCTGGTCCTGCAGGATGAGGGGACAGGTGTGAGTCTTACACAGGGAGTGGTGCTGGCAGTGTCACCTCTCCCTAGTTGCATCTGGGGAATCTTCACAAGTGACAAGAACGGGGGAGCCTGTGGGCGGGGACTCAGTGTTGTTGGGAGTTGTAGAACCTCTCTTTGACCTTCACCATGTGCTCGAGGATCTAACTATAATTGTCAAGTACACACAAACATACAAACCATCATCTAATCTGGTCCATTAGACAGGAAGTTATTTCTTAAAGAATGACTACCAAAAATTAGAATTTTTCCTCCTAAAACTTCGGGATTCTAAAGTGTTTGTACAGGATCATTTAATATTTTTTCATTTCCATACAATTCTGAAACATTTTTTAAAATTGAAAGTGAGGCATGAAGAATGTAATATCTTAAACTTGTTATTTCTAACATCCGCTCATAGCATGCCAATCACAGCAATTTTGCCTCTAAAATATGTCAATTGGGTTAACACCACGAATGGGAAGCCTGAGTTGCTGAATCACCAACATGACGATGCCTCTTCTCACCTCTGGCCCGTGAAGGTCCTTGCACATACAAAGCAGTCACCAAGGATGGGGCCAACACCAGCATTTCCTTTCCTAATAATGATGGTTCTTAGCTCGAATGCAGGGTGCTTTCAATCACACTAAGAGACACTAGGGATTGTTATTTCTGGAAGTTCCTTTCCAAGCCCAAGTGGGTCTTTGGTGATGAACTGCCCATAATGAAGTTCCAGGGTGAGCACCAGACTGTGGGACCCTGCTGTGTAAGAGAGTAGAGGCCTCAGAGCAACCGTGCCTGGGGAAATAACAAGGTAACAGGCACATCGCTCCATGCTAATTTAATGTGTTCAGTGTTGCTTCTTATTCATTATCTTGGCGGACTTCCAGAGGTCAGCACTATATACAGAATACTTGTTGAAAAACAACACTTGGGGCTGGGGATATAGCTCAGTGGTGCTGGGCCTGACAATCACAAGGTCCTGAGTTCGATCCCCAGTACGGGACACACACACACACACACACACACACACACACACCTTTTAGGCTGGGTGTGGTGGTACATGCCTGTAATCCCAGCACTCTGGGAAACCAAGGCAAAGGAGTACAAGTTCAAGCCCAGCCTGGGCAATTTAATGATATAGTGAGACTCTGTCTCAAAAGTAAATATAAAAAAAGGGCTGGGGATGTGGCCCAGTGTGAAGGCTCTGGGTTAAATCCCCAGTGCTGGTTTGTCCCCAGTGGACAAACACACACCATGAGAAGCTCTGCTATACATATATACATATATATGTATATGAATATATATGTATACATATGTGTGTGTGTATATATATGTATATATATGAATTTTTTTTGTGTGTGAGACAGGGTCTCACTATGTAGTTCAGCCTGGCTTTGAACTCACTATGCAGCCCAGGCTGGCCTTGAACTCATAGCAATCCTTCTTCAACCGCCTGAGTGCTAGGATCACAGGTGTGTGCCACCTCACCCGGCTGTATGTGTATTTCTTAGTGGAGGAATACAGGTGCTTTAAAACGTGAGTGAGCCTTAGAGAGTGAATGGAATAAGTTGCAGAGCCTGCGACAGTGACTTATGAAGCCATAGATGACAGCACGGTGGGGACATCTTTAATGATTAGGTGTGACTGAATGAAAGAGAACACACAGCTCACTTTGCATTAAAACTGGAACAAAGCATAGAAGGAAAGCAGAGAAGCCAGGGCAGGAGTCCAGAAGCTGGACTTTGCTCTCACTAAATCACTGTGTGACCTTAGGTCTCTTAAGCTTGCCTGGCTTTCCTCCTCTGTGTCATAACAGAGTGGGACCCGAAATAGCCCTTTTACAAGGAGGGAAGGATGGGAGCTTATGATGTATGTGTGGAGAACTCCTTGGACCATGACATTGTTAATAATTACTACCCTTCTGATGTGCTAAACAAGTAAATGCCACTTAACATTGACTTTGTGCAAACACTGCCCTTCCTCCTCCTGTGACACCTACCAAGGGCACTTGGACCTCCGACCAGGTGATATTGGGCACAGAGGATGAAGGCTGCAGCAGTGTCATGGGGAAGAAGAGGTTGTAGTGACCTGTGGCTGCCAGGTACAGCGTCACGATGATGTTGAAGGGCAGCGTGAAGACTGGCAGGTCCCACTTGCTGAAGATGGTGCTCAGGGCACTGGAGAGGATGGGGCTGATGGCAGAACCAGGAGATGCTGGTTGGGAAGCAGGCATCAGACAGCACAGCACTGGGGGCCTTCCCTGCTCCCCCCAGCCCCTCCACCTGACTGGCAGCCTCCTCCCTGGACAGAGCCCAGAGACAGGGTGGGTACCCCCACTCAGCTTCAGAAGGAAGACTGCCTGGGAGACATTTAAGGCCAGGAGCCTTGGAACCCCCTAGAAAGCTCATTGAACTACATCCCCAGGCAGGAAGGAAGAAGATCAAGGGAGCAGAGGGGAGGGAAATAATCATTGAGTTATTAAACTAATGCATTTTGAGTGACCAGGCCCACTGGCCTCTTGGTCAGAATGCCCTGTGTTTTCTGAAGTGAGGGAGGTGCCTGGCACCCTGAGGGCTGTACCCTATGTCTGGCCTTCAGCCTACCTTGGAAAGTTGTGGTTTATATCTAAAATGCTTCCATAAAGCCCCATGCATCTGGAGGTGATTGGATCAAAGGGGCCCTATACTCATCAGTGGATTAGTTCATAGATGACTTGATGTTAGGAGGTGGGGCCCAGTTAGAGGCTGCTCACTGGAGGGTGTGGCCTGGAAGTGTACCCTTTTCCCTAGCTCCCCTCTCTGTCTCTGTGTTTCCTGTTTGCTATGGGATAAATATCTTTCCTCCACCATGCCCTTCCACCATGCCGGTTCTGCCTTGGAGTAAATTGCCCATGCACGGAATCCCCTACGACCATGAAACAAATCAAACTTCCTCTTCTTTAAGTTATGGGTGTTGGGTACTTTGTCTGAGCAGTGGAAAATCTGACTAATACAGGAGTTGTCTCCATCTGGGCAGGGTTCCCAGGCACGAAGCAAAGGGAGATTGCCAGAAACTGACACAATCCTGTAGCACTGACCTTAACCTGCCTAGGCCTCAGTTTCTTGCTTTGTGTTGTGGCAGGGTGAGGCCAGAAACCCTTTCAGATCTTCAAAGAAGAAAAAAGGATAGTAGCTCATGGGATTGTGTATAGGTGTCCTCCCATGATATAATGTTAGTAGTTATCTCCGGTGGGTGTTTCTGATGTATGAACCAAACAAATGCTACTTTAAAATGGAGCATAGATGGCAGTCACAGGCCCAGGACATGAAGGACAATGGCTTTTTGACCTGAACTCACCTCAGAAGCAAACTTACCAAGACATGGACATGATGATGACTGGGAGCAGAAGCCACCAATAGTAGTTGCCCTTGTCTGAGAACACAGCCATCAGCAGCCCCACGAGGATCCCATTGTAGCCATGGAGTCCTGCTGCAATGGCTGACCTGGGGGACAAGGATGGGGCTGGTGGGGTGGGGCTTCTCCATGCCTTTTAAAATTTTCCTTCACAGTCAGATTTTCCTCACTGGGGGTCTGACTGCACACCTCCAAACAGCCACCCTGGGAGTGGGGAAGAAAACTGCCAGCCCTATTGGCCCTCACATTTCTCTAGACAATGTGTCTATGAAAAATGATAAAGGAATAGTCAGTTTTTGGTTTCGAGTGCCCTTGTTTTGAGGTGTTTCTGAGCTGACAGAGGGTGCAAAGGGGAAGAGTTGTCCCCTTAGGGAGTGGCTCCTTAGCCTCATGCTTCCACCCTTGGGGACTTACTTGTCCTGGCTCAGGAAAAGGGCTGTCAAAGTGGACACAATGGTGCCCAGGCAGCCTGAGATGGCCCACCAGGGGTTCTGGACAAAGAGGCCGATGACGATGAGGATGCCGCTGAGCGGGTTGTTCACAAACATCACCTGAGATGTGCCCCGGAGCACCCAGTCGATAAACTGGAACACGGGGGACTTGTCTGAAATGGAACAGGCCAGGAAGTCAGCAACTGCTCCTGTGTGGAGTAGCCCTGGGCAAGGCCTGGGGCAGGCTGAGGGTGTGAGAAATCTCCCTGCAGATCCCAAGTGGGTTTTCAGGGAGCCGACCACCTCCTGTCACAAAGAACCTGGGACAGTATTTGATTGTCCAGAAAACCAGCAGGCTCTAGGCTATTTTTCCTGTGGTGGGCGTTGGGTACACTGAGCTGTCTGTCTCCCACATTTTGCAGAAAACTCTTGCTGCATGGTGGGCATTGCACCCATGAGCCAGATCTGGGAGACTGCCAGAGACCTGTTGGCCTGGTGGATGGACAGTTTTCTCCTGGAGCCATCCAAGGGCCATTTTCTAGAATGCTGGCTCTAGAACCCCAGTTCTTCAGTGTTTATCTGCAACATCTGGACGGGACATATGGGACAGCAGGACTCTTCTATTCAGAAACAAGAGCTTGTCACTGATACATGTGGGTTTTACATCCAAAGAGACTGTTGCAATGACAGAATTCCTAGCTTCCCACAAAAATCCTAGAGACAGAGCTCACACTGCTCTGTAGAGAACGGTTGCTACAATGTGTTTCCTGGGGATGGCAGAGGCAACTTTTTAGGGGTAGGGTCAGGGCTGCCATCACAGAATGGTACCTTTAAGTCCCTCCCCAAATTCCTTCATCTCTCCTGTGATGTAGCTGAGGGCTTGGCTGACCCTCTTCCCCCCGGCAGCCATGGAACTCTGGATCCAGGGCATCTTGGATGTAGTGGCTTCCACCTTTATCTCAGAACTTTCCTCCATGGTGTTCAGATCCTGTCCAGGGATGAGAGATGGACATGAACCCTCCACATTCTGTGGCTTTCATGCTGGGTAATGTCTGTGGTCCCCTGAGGACCAAGCTAAGATTTTTATTTGGTACTTTGTTAAACTGCTATTCCCTGTTTCTGTAGATTGGAGGCTTTTGTTTCATTTGACTTGTCACTCTTTTGATATTGGCAATGGCCATGAGGAACAACATGACATCTTTATACTCACTTTTCGGATGAGGAGCCAGGCATGTACAGTTTCTTACTTGCAAAGGTCGGGGTCAAATGGTAGAATTAACACATTCAACTGTGGGGTTCTCTCTCTTTTTGCAGTGTTGAGGATTTAACTATATGCTAGGGAAGCACTTTACCACCGAGTTATGGCCCTAGCCATTTTTATTTTATTCATTACATTGCCCAGGCTGGCCTTAAACCTGTTATCCTCCTGTCTCAGTATCTTGAGTAGTTGGGGATTGCAGGCATGCACTACCTTGCTTAGCTTCTAGATTTTTGTTTTACAAACCATTACTTACACTATACTATACTTTTTTCTAGAAGAAACTGCTTTCCCTCCAACATGTCTAGTCTTTAAAATTTAACTGTCCACAAACTCAAAGGTTTGCAATTGAACACGTGAAGATTCTGCTTTCCAAAACTGGCATGATCTTATTTCCTAAATATTTGATTCAAAAGAAACTTGATAATAATTCAAATAAAGGGAATATGAAAATTCACAAAGTAAAGTGTGAAAAATGGACACTTTAATCTAGTAATTACATTTCTGAAAATATGAATTCATGAAAAGTTCTCCTGCATGAGTCAGCCTCCTTGACAGATTCTCAGGTCCCCGATCTGATGTGGGGAGGGTGCCATCCCTGCCGACCATTGCATACTCACCGGCAGCTCCATGGTGGGCTTCCGGAATGGATAGGGAAAAGGCTCTTTGGCCTGTCTCTCCTGGCTTTCACCTTTTCCAAGAACTGGAGTTAGAAAGAAAAGAGAATCATCAGTTTAGAACCTCTATTCTGTTGGCTTAGCAGTAATTTCTTGCCAGGCTGGAGTTTAGTCTACTTGGTATTTCCCATTCCATTGAGGAAGCACAGAAGCTGGAGTCTTGTAGTTGGAAGTTTCCTATTTTCTTTTACCACTCATGGGCCCATTTGGGTACGTACATCGTCAGGGAAACAGGACATTTTACAAAAAATATAGAGTTCAGAGACTCCACTGATCCTTAATTAAGAAGCCCTGTAGTTTTTAGATGAGGAACAATAGCCCAGGGGGACAGTGGTTTGCCTGTGATTCCTGATGATTCTTTCTCCTATACCACATGGAGAATTTGAAGGTGCACAAAGAAAGGAACTTGGAGGTTGTTGAAGTCCTTTACTCCTAAAGTGGTGGTCTTCCTGAGCCATATGGGATCTGGGTTTGAACGTGGCTATGACTCTCCTCAGCTGGATGACCTCAGGCTATTTGGGATTTGAACTTTTTCTCTCAATCTTTTTACATATGTCTCTGAATTTTAGACATTTTTAATACCAATCGCTGGTTGGATCAGTAGTTACTTAAAACAGATTTTGGGATGACTTTTACATCTTTAAAACTCTTATAATGTAGCCACAAACATTTATTGTTATTATGCATAATTTATTTTAAAGAATGACGAATTTCAGCAGAGTTTTATGCATTGTGAAAGATCAGGCGCTTAAACTTTTCTTTTTGGTCTTGGTGCTCTGGTTCCCTCTGGTGGCCAAGTGTGAGAATAGCAGGCTGGGCTCTGCCCATCCTGTATTTGTAGACTGAACTGGCTGTTTCCAGCCTACCTTCCAGTCTAGTGCCTTCCAAGCACTAATAAGAACCCATCAGGGTCGTCATGTTGCCATTTTCGTAGGAGCATGGGCTTCAAATACCAGTGTGGTTGTAAAATCACACTCTTTAGGAGAAACAAATTAATAGTGGAAACTTTGAAATGAAGACGAGGAGGCTGGGAGGAGTCCTCTAACTCGAGGCTCGTGTGTGGGATCTCCTGACTGACCGCTTCTTCTGGCTGGAGCTCCCCTCTGCCTGCCAGTGCTGCAGCAGTTCCCATGGGCCTTCACCTTCTGGCTCCTCTACATGGGGCTTTATTGTGCTTGCTCCACTCCACTCCCACACTCGTGAGAGATGTTAGGAGGGAGATCATTGTTGTTTCAAGGGAAACCACGCTCTCTTCCACATCATGGCAATCAAAGGCAAACTCTTGGGGTCAAGGGGTTCCTGAGGAAACTGCAATGCCCCTTTACCTTGTAGGTTTCCCCATAACCGCTCAAGGCCTATTTCTCTGGCTTGGCTGACTTTTGGTCTGAATGATAGGAGGTGAGCTGGAGGAAGAAAGTCACTAATGCATCTTCTGAGAGGCAGAAGTGGTGGGAGGGAACACTAGCTTGGGAGTCGGTTATATCCCTTGCAGTGGCTCTGGCCAGCTGTGTGGGTCTGGGGAGTCCTGCTCCCCTCTTTGGGGTTTGGGGAAGAATTAGATTGCTTCCTTCCTGTCTCTCCATAAGCTGCTCCAACCTGCAGCTGATGGGGCTGATCCCTCCAGACTCCTTCCTGTTTCCCAGAACCTGACCTCAGCTTCCAAGCCCAGGTTTCTGGTTACCTCGCCTATTCAGCTTTGGCTGCCCTCCGGAGCCTCTCCTGGCCTGAGGGGGTCCTCTCCACAACTTTCCTCTCTACCTGTTCCCTTGGTATACCCACCATTGACTTGGGAAAGAACTATTCATCTTTAGCTTCCCAGACCAATGGTTTTTCACTTAGTGGTAAGTTAGAATCTCATGAAGAGCTCTAAAGGATCCTGATGCCAGTTCAGACTGCCCCAAATGAATTAAATTAGAGTCTTTGGCTATGGGATCCAGGTGATTCCCACATCCAGCCAAGTTGACACCACCTGCCTTTGTCCACTTCCTGTCCCAGCTTGCTTCCCCATTCTAGGCAAGGTGTGTCCAGACACAAGAAAGCTGTGGCCTTGGCCAGTGGTTATGCATGAGAAGAATGAATCTGCCCTTATAGGTGTTCCAACTACCCTGTGGAATAGGTACAGGTCACTGTCCTCGTTTTATCAAAGACAAGGCAGGTGGGGACCCAGCATGATGATGAGGACGTGCACACCTTTGCTCCTCCTCCGAACAGATGACCACTCGATGTGGAACACACTCCTGTGTATGGGGAGCAGGGCCTCAGTGCCCTCCTTTGCCTTATGGCCCGCCGTGGGTGGCTGCTCTCCACTGCCACCTAGAAGGGAACAAGAAGAGACAAGTCAGTGTCCTACCTGGTCCATACTCCTGAGAGCCAAGCAGAGTGCAAGGAAATCCACACCCAGAAGCTGGAAAGGAGAGAGTGGTACAGCCTGCTGTTTAGAGAGTAACTGCATCTGTCTTTGTAAAAAACACTCAGGTGCTCCCTTTCTCCCATTACAACTTCCACTTCCTCTTCCTGCAGGAAGCTAAATTCCACCATGTCCAGAGGTGGGTGAGCCAGCCTAAGACCCATTGGATGATATCTTGGACAGGTCAGGAGAAGCGGACCCTGAGCTGAGTACAGCCAGCACCTGTAGCAGGGAGTTTGAAAGCCAGCTGAATATTAGGTGCTTAAAAAAAAAATCCTGAGGCTTACCCAGACCAATGAGGAAGATTAAAGTTTCCAATTCCTATGGTATTTAAAAGATGGCTCTCATGTGCAGCTTGGGCTTATAATTATTGGTATAGGTTCTTGCTGCTTAATGTTTGATCCTTGGACCAGCATTAGCCTCCTCTGGGAGCTTGTTAGAAATACAGAATCTCAGTCTAACCCCAGACTGATGGAATCAGAAGCTGTATTTCAACAAGTTCCCGCAGGTGAGTTCTGTGTATATTAAAATCTGACAAGTACCTATCCAGGGGGAACTAAGTGTCTTGAATACATTCTGAGCCACAAGAAACCCTCTTCTGTAGCATATTGTTTTCAGTTTCCACACTATGGAGAGGAGATCACCTTTACTGCTAGGAACAAGATTTCTCAAGTCATGGTCTGAGAAGGACTGCATCAAATCCCCTGTGTGGTTTGTTAAAGTGCGTGCTCCCAGGCTCATCCAAGGTTTATGAAGCACAATATCTGGTGATCCTTAGGGCACACTCATCTAAAATTGGGGTTCTAGTGCATAGCAAAGTCAGAGGTCCAGCAGCTGCCTGGAATAGTAGAAAACATTCACTATTCACTATTACATTTGCACACTCCTCTCTAGGTTAACTCACTTTGCCTTTTCAAACAGTACCTTGAAATGGGTTGGATGAGTGTTGTCACCAAAAGATGGAAAATTGAAGCCCAGCGTGATTTCCCTGGCATTCTACTAACTGTTGGCCCTGGGACTCTCAGTGTCCAATTATTTTTCTGCATCCTTGCTACTCAGAATCTGGTGCTACTAGAATAACTTCATGGTTGTCACCAGGGAGCTTGATAGGAATGCAGAAATTCAGGCTTCAACTCAGACCCACTGAATTAAAATCTGGTTTTTAACAAGATCCCTTGCTGATTTGTATGCACATTAAAGTTTGAAAAGATCGACTGAGGTCACATTGCTTATGTAGAGACAACTTTAACAAAGCCCATAGTATTATTGGCAGAGTCAACATCCTGAGAGTTGGGTGGGGGAGGGCATGGATGAACAAGCAAAGAAGTCTTGACTGCTCTTTCCAATTAGAAGGGAACAACAACTCTGTCCCTTCCCTCAGCTTCAGGTGGAGAAGTAGCTACTGTTTTGGAATTCTGTCCATGGATCAGCATTGAGCTATAACTCCCAAGGCTGGGACGTGTCTGTGAACTCTGCACTGCAGAGACACTTGGAATTTTAGCTTTCCCTGGGCACCTCTGCAGAATGGGAAGTAAAGGCATGTCTTTGCACCATCTGTGTTCTCCCACAGTGCCGACCCCCAGTGCGCATCTGCCAGGCTGGCAGGCACTTCTGGGGACCATTATGTCTCATTCCTCATATGCCAGGTGCCAGTCATCCCAGCTTCCCCCTCAGCAGAGCTGTATTTCAACCTTAGAGTCATAAACGCAAGTGGATGGAAGCTTCAAGACCACAGTCTACTTCTATTCTAGAGAAATCAGCTCACTGAGATAATACAGCTCATTAATCATGGCAAAGCTAGGAACCGCTTTGGTTCTCCTACTTGTTAGTTCACTACTCTTTCCACCGTAGTATACAGTGTGAACCTATTTAGTTCAAGAAAGAAGCTTTTCTTTTAGCTTGGGACCTGGTCTTGTATATTGGAGGCCACGACAAATTCCATTTACCAAACTGTGCTAGTTGTATATATGAAGAGTGTTCTTCAGTTTAACCCACCGAGGAAATATTTATCTGGAACTTTTGGCAATACAAAAAGTTGCTGGTTGTTAAGATACCCTAGAGGTTATTTTTAAAAGCTGAGTTAGCCATAGAAACAGAGATAAAGAGAGCTGGGCTTGCTGATGAGGTCTCAGTGGGTGAGGCCAAGCCCATCCATCTGGCAGGGCTTACAGATGGCTGCAGAAGGCTGGTAGATAAGCCTCTGTTCCATTGTTCCACATATCTAGCAGCCCAGATCCTATGCCTCTCATAGCCCAGGAAAGTGAGGCAGGACATGTATTTCTATGCATGTGATGGGCCACCACAACAAACAAAAATAAGAATCACTTTTCTCACATGAGCAATACTGGAATGCTGGGCTATAGACCAGCCAGGGAGGGTCATAGCCCCTCAAGCTGTGCTAGTGGAAAGTTGAGAATGAGAGATGGGAACAGACTCCACAAGGAGATTGGAGATAAAATAACCAACTTCCCAAGGCTGTGGAAAATCTTTGAGTGAAGGTGGTAGCAATTTACTCCTGGCCTCTGGGACAAATTCTCAAGACTTTCATAAAGGATAAAGGCAATTTTAAGAATATTATGAGCGTGTCTATCAAATGTTCTAGAAATGAGATATACTGTTGATGTGGTGGGAAGGAAAGAAAACAATAACACTGGCTGGGAACAGGAAGCCACTAATTTTTGCCCGACACCGTACAAGTCATGCAATCTCATTGAGAGTTTCCTCAATTTCAGGCACACGGTCCTCCAAGGAAGAAATTTACAGACTCTGTAGGGCCGACCTTGCAAACCCAACTTGTAAATGATGACAGGTATCTCAGAGGGAAACCTGCCATTTCTTTCTTGTGTACTAATAAAATGGGATAATGCTTGCAAAATGCTCTGAAAAGTAATTCTGCAGTGCTCACACATCAGGTAGCTCCTTAGGGAGGACTCTTCTGTCTGATGGTTTGGGGCCCCTCTGCTCTGGGCAGGATGACTCTTTATCCTTAGGGGACACCTGGCATTTTACACCTACCTGCATTGACTCTCACCAGCTGAGAGTTAATTATGTGTTTTTGACTTGTGAAATTCTTGACAGCCAGGATTACATTAATTTCTCTTGATAGCTCCAGCACCTATCATGTGTCTGGTATACTGTAGATACTTAGAAGAGTTTTTGAATAAATTAATGAAGAGTGGATTATCTTACAAATTTTAATTTCTGAATAGTGTAACAAACAAAGTCATTGGATATTCCAAGGTATGAAGTACTTTTAAAAATAAAAATCTTATGGTAAATGTTAAATATTTGATAAATATTGAAGTAGAGGTAAGGGGATTTCACAGGTTGATACAAGTGTTAGCTGAGTTTTGTAGGGTTTTGGAAGCTGTAGGGTGAGGGCGGATTACTTCAAGCATTACTTGGATAAAACAGTGAAAGTTTGTAGATGGTGGTAAAGAGGTTGGCCATCTATGACTAACACCAAGAAACCCAGAAGTTCTACAAGACTGTCTGGAATAACTCAGTAGATGGAGAGGAGAAAACAGGCTACTGAAGATAGAGGTCTGCCTTGATGTGATTTGTTTTGGTTACCAGATGTTACGTTGGTCTATTCCACCTAGCTATAAAGCCATAAGCTTTATGGGGTTGGGCCTTCCATAGGCCAAGAGTAAATTGTGTTCACTAAGCACTCAGTGCTTTTCTTACCTCTCGAAATATCAGGCTCACATAGAAAACAGAACTTGTGTGGAACAGTGCAGTAAACAGATGCTGGGCCCAGGGACTCTAGTTACCATGGGTCCCAGCTGGGTGCCTGGATTTCCAAGGGCATTGCTGTCTTGACACAGCTAGCTGTGCACTGTGATACACAGTTAAGAAACTCTGGCCTCATTCTTTAGATAATCGCATTTGCTGCTTAGACCCTTTTCCTATATCTTTAAACATTTATGAAAGCCCAAATCTCTCACCCTAACCACATAATTCCTCTCTTGGAAACCTGTCTGCTGTCCCTCTTGACAGTATTTTCTAAACTAAATAAACTCTCATCTTTTCTACTGAAAAAGAAAGAAAGAAGAAAGAAAGAAAGAAAGAAAAAGAAGTCCTGTCCTTGGTCACCTGCGAGTCAACAGCTGAGTGAATCCGTGGCATGCCCGCCTGGTGTAGGAAGTGCTGCTCTTCCGTCCTCTAACAAGCCTTATTAAATGTCCCAGTGCATGTAGCTTCATGCTCGGGGCCATTCAGGACCATTTCAGGGGCATGGTTCCTACCTCTGAGGATTGCATTGTCCTGTGTTTTAGTAGGCAAGAGTCCAGTGGTCCTGCCTTTCCATTGATTCAGAAGCAAAGAATAATTCTGAGTCTGGGCCGGGGATTTAGCTCAGTGGTTTCGATGCCTGCTGCGCAAGTGCAAGGACCAGAGTTTGATCCCCGGTACCAAAAAAAAAAAAAAATCTGAGTCATAAGGATTTGTGCATAGACTCTTTTCTGGGGGCATAGTGATCCCAAAGGACTCATCCATTACTGACTTCTAATGCAGAGAAAATGCCAACCATTCAAATTATCAGTAATGAGAAAATATTTTGTAGAAGACCTCTGTTGTGAGATAAAAACCTAAAGCTTATTACAGTTTCCTTAAGGGAACAAAACAAACCTTGACCCTATTTGTCATCTTTCAGAAGGGGAAACATGATCAAATTGGTCTGGAAATTAACCCAAACAGGCCCATGCCTACATACCTTCTACCGGAGTCCTTCTCAGGTTTTACTTTAACCTGGAGGTGAGTAACTGCTCTCCATGTGTCACACGCAAGGTCCAACACATGGAGTATTTGAATCTACCATAAAGACACATTTGTTATCCCTCCCGTCTCTCTGGTCTCTTATTCCTTTGACCTGGCAATTGTGGACACACCCATATACCCCAAGTAG